AGGTCGCAATAAATTTGATTGAACGGAGTGAGTGTAAATAACAAATTCGACTTGCCCATGTCGTCAATGCTAAACACATTGGGCAAATCTCCGTCACTCGCCTGCGATCGTTCCCGCAGCCGTCCAATCACATGGTGCGCAGAAGTCATGAGGCATTGCCTTGACGCTCCTTAGTTTAGGGCGCATACTCACTAACAATACATTTGTTGTTATAATATATATTACGTTCAAGAGTATCTAGTTCGGAATATCTAGTGCCGAAACTTTCACTACACTTTATTTACACATTGCATCCCTTGCCGCGTTTTCGTACACATTTCTCCTTAAGAGCGAAACCCTTTTCTCTAGCAGGGCGTAGCAGGGCGCCCCTGGCAAGAAAGTGGCTACGATGATTCATTTGTTGTCAGAATCAAAATTAGGTGATCATAGATTGCAAAAGGATGAGGGCGATTTTCAGAGACAAGGTACCTTTCGAATAGGTATTTGAATTGGAATCCTGGTCGCAATGATTTTCATGATTTTCCGTATCATTCGGATTTTCACCCGGATTTTTTGACAATCTTTACGCAATTGCAGAATATTTTCAAGAGGGTTTTGTACTTTAACGCCATCTCTCACTATCCAATCATCATTCATCAGTCGTTTACTATTATTATGCCCTTATTTATTTCGTTTGCAAATAACGTGTTTTCCGAAAAATACATACTCTGTTACACATTTAAAAAAATTGAAATAACGAATTAATTTTATGAAAGAGAAAACATTGACAGTGGACGAAGGGTGTACGACACCAATGTAAGTTCACTTCCACAGGGCAACGTTCTTTATAATCGCAGCCCCGCTTACTCTCGTGTTCTCGATCAGTTTCTATTAAATAACTGAAATCGAGAGCCAGGAAAACTTGATTGCATTCTTAGTTGGACGAGTCTAGATGTCGCGTCACGTCGTTAATTTATTTGCTATCCGAAGTCGACGATCCGCTTTGGACGCTCAGTGTTGCAAATACTTTCTCATTTCTTTCTAAAGATAAGTTGTAATTTCAGTGCACGACTGATGTTCGACGAATTCAAATTACGACTTGGAATTGGAATTAAAATCCCGCACTCCATCTTGTAACAAACCGCACGCAATTTTTCTTCACAAATAAACTACAAAATGAAAGTGAAGTCACTTAATTTAAAAAAAATATTAAAACTTAATTTACACTTGACAGTCTCTTTGGCATATTTTCGCCTTTCACTATTCGCAAGTCTTCATTTAATTTTAAATTCAATCTTCGATTTTCGCGTATGTTGTTCCGGCAACATAATTATACAGAAAAGTTGATTTAATCTGCATATATTATAATTATTTTCCATTAGCGCGTTCGATAAGGGCGT